ATATATATATATATTTATATAGATATGTATCTATGATATCTAATACATAAGAAACCAAAATGTGAAATCAACTGAACAGCAAGATTCAATATCACGTAAAAATGAGTAATAAATGACGGATCTATCTATACAATTACCGCAAACGTGCAAATGTTGCACCATTAGTCAACTTGGCTTACAACTCGAAAATTATTATGACCTTGACATTTTAATACTGAGATTTACTCCAGAAGCGATTAAAATATTATATGATTATAGTGTAATTATAGTGAGATACTCTATATATATTACAATACTTTTTTTTATAAAATATTGCTTTTTCTCTTCAGTTACTTCGTAGATAACTACGACTCTACTTTATCTAATTCAAATTCAATAAAATTTGAATTCAACGTTATCTAATGAGTTTAAAAGTTTGCTATTAAAGTTCAATAATTTATGTCTCTAATTACTCTGTTCTTTTTAGTATGTAGTAATACAATAAAGTTAACGTTTATCAATATCTTTTTAAAAAAATATTTTATGAATATGCTATTCCCTTGTAAGAGAGAACGTCTCTAAAATATGAATCCAACTTTGTTCGTGGATAGAATGCATGTTTCTTTAGAAAATGTACGCGATTAATGGGACAAAAAATGCGCGTTTGATAGAATCGGCTGGTATGACGATTGCTTGTACATCGAATAATTTGCCGCGATGCATAGCTTTCCACGTGTACGTGAAACGTACATGGGAACGATTTAAAAACGATCTACATTACTTTATCGTATACACTAGGAATATTGAGGGGGATCGAAGCGACGTTATCTCGACTCATTCGTAAACGACTGGTGCTCGTGCTGACGAGACAACAATAACTTTGCCTACTATTCTTACTACTTTACTCGTATATAATAATATAATTGCGATCACTGGCGCACTTATAAAATTCTCTGAAAGCCCTTCGCGCAACAATGTACATTTCCAACATGTGTGTAATATGTATGTATATATAGGTGTATACATGTGTATATATATATATATATATATATAAAAAATAT